CCTCGTCACGCTGGCTAGCTAGAATTACATTTCCCAGAATACCCTTTCCTGTAGGAATCTGAGTTAGAGTTTACCAAGAGAAATTCAAGTGAGATCTGGGTGACAAAAGTGAAGCCGAAGCCAGTATACTCTGAAGGCCATCTCGGTTACAGGCAGTGGGAGACACATAAAGAGGTGCCTGTAGATGGGACGAAGTCCCTGCTCTTGTTTGCTCTGTGTCTAGCTCTTTTTACCAAGCACCGATTCTGCTGACTAACAGCATCCTAGGCCCACCCCCAGAGGCAGCCTCCTCCAGCTCTCCTAGCTAATACCTGCCTCTAGAAATATGTAGCTCCTTAAAGAAAATAGAACATTTTCACCATCACTGAAAGTTCTGTTAATGCTGTCCTAAGGACTACTCTGCAGTCCAGGTAAGGGTTAGAGAGATAAAAACATCACCTTTAGAAGTATATGGATCCATTGTTATATTATGAATGAAGTTATATTAATAATTTTCTAATATTAAGTGACTTTGCATTTCCAGATTAAACAAATACAGTAACGGCATAAAATTTTAATATATTATTGCATTTTTGTTTATATTTTAAAGTTTTCCTATACTATATTTGGGCATCCTGGTGTGGCACTGTGGGCTAATGTGTCAGACTGCAAAGTCGTTTGAACTGCAAGTCAGTGGTTCAAGCTCAACAGGTACTCCTTGGAAACCCTATACAGGTCAGAACTGACTCAATGGCACTTAACAACAACAAAGGATTACTCTACCAGTCCTACTTGAATAGTCGGATGTACCTAAATTTCTAGGCACCCTGGAAAGCTTTGGTTTGTGCAACTGTGCCACTGTTCAAAAGAACTCGGTGACTTGTTTCTGATCCTCAAGTTCCCCTCTCAGACTGTTCCTTAGTTTCATCCACACACTTGTATACAGTCTTTTTTTCATCATCCTTAAGAATTAAAATTATTTTGAAAAGGATAGTAATAATGGCTGCATAATAAGAATACAATCGATGTCATTATATTATAAATGTAGAAATTGTACTGGCAAAGTTTTGGTGTACATATTTTCACAATGCTTTTTTCTTATAAGAAATTACTTATTGCAGAATATTTATGTGGTTCTGTTTCCCTAATCAAGCCCTGACTGATAAACACAGTATGTATGGTATGCTATTATTTGCATAAAAAAGGAAAAATGCTATGCATTCATATTTGCTTAGGAATGTATAGACTATCTCTGGTAAGAAACTGGAAACTGTGCTTGCTGATGTAGAAAAGGTTGGAAAACAGAGTGAGAGGTCTTTCCCCATACACTCTTAAGACTTCAGAGTTCTGAACCTTGTAAATATATTGTCTATTCAGAACTAAATTATGATGCAACCATAATACCTTCTAAGAGCAATGGAAAAGCTTATTAAAAGAGAAATCGTAAGAGATCTTAGCAATGTCCAATTCTAGTCATAGCTAAACTTACATGTTTTGACAAGTCATCAGAGAAGCTCTGGCAGGCTCACGGAACTAGGCTTTATTTGGTCACATTTTCTTGGTAAGAAGAATACAGTTCCAAAGTATTGTCATGATAGAGAAAAATAACAACCTCAGAATCTCTGACCCTGAAAACCCTGCCTAAGTAGGAACAGATGAAGTTATAGAGAGAAGAGAAATCTGCCAATGGCTTAACAGTACTTGGATGATTAGCACAAGCTTCACTAAAGATGCAGTTAGATGCTTATTAATGTTTCTGCACAGGGTAGCAGTTGCATTATAAAGTACATTGAAGATGTGCTAATGTAAAAGGGACTAAAAGCCTATCGAGCTACTAAAACAATTGGGGAAGGACTACTGGAGTCCTGGTGTGGCACTGCTGATTAATGTTCTTGGACTGCAAGGTCGTTTGAACTGAAAGGTCGGTGGTTCAAGCTCACCAGCTCCTTGGAAACCCTACACAGGGTAGCTATGAGTCAGAACCGACTTGACAGCACTTAACAAAACTGGCTCTCTGGGTCTATGCTAATGCATTTGTTATTGTTGGTATTTGTTTGCCCTAAAATCTTCCCTTTCAAGTTATTTACATCATTAAGAGAGAAGCAAGGTCTCCAGTATCCTGTATGTAGATAAATGGTGAAAAGGGTTTAATGATACCAATCAAAATAAGTCTCCTTAGAAGGGAAACTTAAACCACTAATGACACAAGGAACATATTCTTCCTCCGCAAGACTAGGAAGAAAGTAGTTATTTCCTACTTTTACAGTGTTGTTAAGTGCTGTCCAGTCAGTTCCGATTCATAGTGACCCTGTATAGAGTTTCCAAAGAGTGGTTAGTGGATTTGAACCACTGACCTGCCAACACCATAACTCAATGCATCAATTCTTCTCTGGTCTTCCTTATTCATTATCCAGCTTTCACATGCATCTAAAGCAAGTGAAAATACGATTGTGCTACCTTAGTCCTCAAAGTGATTATCTTTGCTATTTAACACTAGAAAGAGGTCTTTCATAGTAGATTTGTGTAATGCAATATGTTGTTTGATTTCATGACTGCTGCTTCTATGAGCATTGACTGTGGATCCAACGAGAATGAAATTAACATTTTCAATCTTTTCTCCATATTTCCTGACATTGGCTACTTGTTCAGTAGTGAGGATTTTTCTTTTCTTTGTAATCCATACTGAAGGCTGCATACTTTGATCTTCGTCAGTAAATGCTTTAAGTTCTTTTTCACTTTCAGCAAGCAAGGTTATATACCTACATATTGCAGGTTGTTAAGGAGCCTTCATCCAAACCTGATGCTGCATTCTTCTTCATACAGTTCAGCTTCTCAGATTTGCTTAGCCTGCAGACTGAATAAGGATGATGAGAGGCTACAGCCCTGGGGTAAATCTTTCCTGATTTTAAACCACTCGGTATTCCCTTGTTCTAGTCTAACGATTGCTTCTTGGTCTATGTACAGGTTCTGCATGAGCACAATGAAGTGTTCTGAAATTCCAATTCTTCACAGTGTTATTCAGAGTTTATTACGGTTCACACAGTTGATTGTCTTTGCATAACCAATAAAACAAAAGTAAACATTTTTCTGGTACTCTCTGCTTTGAGCCAGGATGCACCAATGATGTCAGCAATGATCTATCTCCCTTATTTCAGGTCCTCTTCTGAATCCGGCTTGAAATTCTGCAGTTCCCTGTTGATGTACTATTGCCATTGTCTTTGAATTATCTTCAACATTTTACGTGCCTGTGGTATTAATGATAATGTTCAACAATGTTCACATCCTGTAGGGCTGCTTTTCTTCAGAATGGGCACAAACATGGGTCTCTTCCAATCGGCTGGCCAAGCAGCAGCTATCTTCCAAATTTCTTGGTCTGGCAATGGTCAGAGGAGAACCCAGCTGTATATACAGCAATGGTGACCCAAAGAACTCTGTGGAGTTTACAGGTGACCTTACTGGTCGGACCTTCCTCCTGCTCCATTCCAGCATTTTCCTGTCTTTTCCCTCCGACTTTGGGGTTAGGTACAAGGTTGTCCGCACGGGAGGCTCCAGAATACTTATGAACTGCCGATCCCAGGTAAACGTTTAAGGGTTTATTACAGGATAATACACTGAAGCACAAGGTCACTTTGAAACACAAGGTCACAACAATTACAGTATCATATCACTAAGAACCTTGGTGGCACAGTGATTAAAATGCTTGGCTGCTAACCAAAGGGCTGGTAGCTATTTGAATCCACCAGCTGCTCCGAGGGAGAAAGATTTGGCAGTCTGCGTCCATCAAGAACCCTGTGGGACAGTTCTATTCTGCAGGGTCACTCTGAGTTTAAATCAACTCTCAAATGGCAGTGCATGATATTACATCCTGTATGAATAAGCCCCTCTCATCAGTAGAGGGAGAGATGTGTGAGTTCTCTAATGCCCAACATTCTGAGAGCAGTTTTAATTCCAAAGCACTGCTCATAAACAGGGAAAATACATATAGAAGAAAGAAGTCAAAGTTAAAAGTATGAAAAAGAGTATAAAATGTTATCTCAAAATTCATAAAGCCATACTAGAGAAGCTTTCCTTCATCAGCTATGTGTTCCTCATTATTAAAAACCTCAGACTTCAACTTTTTCTTCCACTTAATCTTTTCACTGAAGGAGTTACAATGTAAGGAAGAGGAACTGGATTACTCCTCTGGAAAACTGGCTGCTATTGTGTGCCATTGAATTGGTTCAGACTCACAGAGATCCCATATAGGGTTTCCAAGGAGCGGCTGGTGGATTTGAACTGCTGGCCTTGTGGTTAGCAATCCAGTGCTGATCCTACGGCGCCACACTAGGAGTCACCTAACTCTGATCTGATGGAATTATTGCATGTGTTATAAATCCTAACTTCTATGATGTTCATGGGGCCTGATACAACCTACAGGATTAGGCTGTATCTTAAATCAATCTCTTTTGAGCTATAAGATTATATATAACCCCAAATTATACCAAGTAAGCAGAGCTCAGAAGAGCTGGAAATAGAGTGCATCTTTTGGACCTGGGAGGCCTGCACTATGAAGCTCCTAGATCCACAGGAAGACTGATACCAAGATACATGGAGATCGCCCAGGAACACTGGGCCAACAGATGCTGCAAGGAGACCAGGACCTTTCTCTAAAGCTGACAAAGAGAGAAAGCCTTGTACTAGAGCCAGCACTCTGAATTTGGACTTCTAGCCTCCTCAGCTGGGAGAGGATACGTCTGTTTGTCAAAGTCATCCGCTTGTAGTATTTCTGTTGCAGCTGCACTAGAGAGCGAAGATACCACCCTAAACAACAGAGGATACAAAATCCGGGTAACTTCTCTCAGAGCACTCATAAAGAAAACCAACAAACAGATTCAGAGAAGAGAGAAATCCCTTCTAGTTGGTTGGGAAGTGAGAAAGAGGATCATAAAGGCCCTATGTGAGTGATATGTCATAAGTTAAATAAGGACTCCAACTATCCAGTAATTGACGCTTTTACCTAATTGAAAATGAAACCCTGTTACCTCTCTTTGGTGGTCGCACGTGGTACGTTAAGTCATTGATGACCAGCTTAAAGTCATCAAGGAGGAGAAGGTCTATCCCCGTTGAGGCAGCGACTCGAACGCCATCTGTGAAAAAGTGACATGAAACCTGTCATGTGTCCATAATTATTCAAGATTGGTCAGGAAAAAGCACTCCTCAAAACAGCTCTTAGGACCAAACCCTTCTCATATCAGTTACTTGGCTGTGCTGAGTAACGGCCAGAACTGCTGAGACTCTGGTTTTGTAGGCTCAGGTATGTGAAGATTTAACAACATGCTATCCAGCAGGACTTTAACAACAAGTACAATAATTACTGGTCAGAGACCTGCTGAGGTCAGTTGGAAATCCAGGCTCATGAGGAGAACTGCATGGACTTCTTACATGTACCTATGATGGAATTTGGTGGAGTACAAAAGAATTGTTTCCTAAGATATGGTACTATCCAGTATGTTGTTGTCCTTAGGTGCCATTGAGCCAGCTCTGACTCATAGTGACCCTGTGTAGAAGGGAACACTGCCCGGGCCTTGCTAGCCTCAGAATTGCTGTGATGCTTTGCTGCTGTCATTGTGTCCCTCCAGTCACCGCTGATACGTGAGGGCTTCAGAAAGTTCGTGGAATGAAACGATAATGAAACTTTCCCATGAACTTTTGGAAGACCTTTCGTATTACTAGATGAGTTGAAAGTCAATTGTATTTAAAAGAAAAGCATTATATCATAGAAATGTAATAAACTGTTAATAACTGGTGAACCCATGTGAAGAGTAACTGGACACTAAATGTACTCATCTTTCAGCTTTTTTTGCAGGCTTGATGTTTTCCTTGGTAAAAGATGGGGGGAAAAATGGAAGGCGCTTTAAAGAAATGAAATAGATGTCATGTCAAATGGGAATTTTTAGCATCTCATTTTATTTTATTTTCAAACCATGTATTTCTTATCTAAAAAGAAGACCTAATAGTTCATATCTCCAGAGATGAGAACTCAACTGCTGGAGAAACTTTTTCTGTGCCTAGAGCAAATGATAAAAGGTCTCAGTAATATAAAACACGACTGACTACTCATCTGTGCCCATGGCATTATAATACACGTGTTGCTTTAGAATACGACTTGTGCATACGTTTGCTTACAACAGCTACATTCTGAAAATCACTGGAAGAGAAATCACTTTCCTAGCATATCTTAAGCAACAGAAAACAAGCTTTCTAAAGATAAAAGTGGGATTTGTTGCAGTGGGGTGTGTGTGTATGCAGGGGAGAAGGGAGGAGAATGAGAATTCATAATGAAAGTGACCATACCTGGTGAATAAACTGCAACTCTGTCAATTCCCCGATCCTCCTCTTGCAGTTGTCGTAAAAACACACCCACGGAGTCTGAGATTGGCTTAAGTGTGAACTGGCAGCGTTCCCGCCGAGATGGGAGTCTGACAGATATCACAGGTAGCCCGTTTTGATAAACCACAGTCACATCTGAGAGAAAAAGACCCAAAGACATGATAATTCCATTTCATTATACATTAAAGCCACATTATACTCTTACAGGGGCTCTATTATTGTTGGTGTTGGTGTTGAGCGCTGTCAGCTTGGTTCCAACTAAGAGCGACCATATGTATGCACGATAGAACGAGACACTTCCTGGTTTTGTGCCATTCTCACAATTGTTATGTTTGAGCCCAATGTTGCTGCCACTGTGTCAGTCCATCTTGGTGAGGGTCTTCCTCTTTGTTGCTGTTTGTCTGCTTTTCCAAACATGATGTTCTTCTTCAGGGGCTGATCCCTTCGGATAATATGCTAAAAGTACAACTGGTGGTGGTGGTGGTGGTTATGTTCCGACTCATAGCGACCCTGAATAGGGTTCTGAGGCTGTAAGCAAAAAGCCTCATCTTTCTCCCACGGGTAGTTTAGAACTGCTGACTGTGAGATTAGCAGCCCGATTTGTAACCACTATGCTACTAGAGCTCCTTCAGAGTACAGTATTTTATGAAATAGTCAGAGATTCCATAGTTTGGGCCAGATTCCATAGTTTGTAGGAGGCAGCTATTGGGAGTTAGAGCTTTCAAGAATCTTTGGGGAATGACTTCTTCCTAAAGGAGATTAATAAATGAGACTAATAATTTGCATCCCATGAAAAATTGAAGAGTTCAGAGAAAATGTGTGTAGATTAATATTGGAGAGATTACAAAAGCCTAAAAATTTTTATAATTGACCTCATTTACATCTTATTTCCTTGCTTATTCTAACAACTTGTTGTTATTAAGTACCACTGAGTTGGTTCTGACTCAGAGAAAGTCAGGGTTTCTGATGAGCAGCTGGTGAGCTTGAACTACTGACCTGGAGGTTCAAACTGACATTACGGTTCAATGCATTTACCCACAGCACCACACCTGGACTCCACTCTAACAACTTAAAAGGCCTAAATTTGTTTATGCTTTGAATTTAAAAAAAAAAAATCTTTAATGAGGCATAGTTTATAAGTAATAAGATGCATTGTTACTTTAAATAGACACTTTGATGAGTTTTGATACAACAATCAAAAGAATGAGCATTTTCATATCACACCCCCGCCCCAAATTCTTTTGAACTCCATCCCAGTTAATCTCCATCCACTTTAATGCCTGCTGCTCTCTCAACATGATTCCGAGATCCATTCATGTTTTTGTATATATCAGCAGTTCATTCATTTTTACTGTTGAGTAGCATTCGCCTGTATGGTTATAGCACTTCTGTATCCAGCCCCTTGTTGATGGACATCTGGCTTCTTTCCAGTGTTTGATTACCATGAATAAAGCTTTCATGATTATTCACTCACAAGTCTTTGTGTGGGTATATGTTTTCAAGGTTTTTTCTCCACTGTTTTACTTTGTTTCTTCTAAAGCTGATTTATTTTGTGTTGTTGTTGAAAATATACACAGCAGGACATACACCAATTCTACATGTACAATTTAGCAGCACTGATTACATACTCTTCATGTTGCACCACTGTTCTCACCTGCCTTTTCTGATTTGTTCCTCCTTCAGTAACATAAACTCACCACACCGTAACGGTTTGATCTAAGCTTCGGAGCTGCTGTTATCAACTTGATCCCATGTTGTTGTTGTTGGTAACTGCTGTCAAGTCAGTTCTGACTCATAGTGTCCCTGTATAGGGTTTCTGAGGAGCGGCTGTTGAGTTTGAACTGCTGACTCTGTGGTTCAAATCAACCTTGACTATATATAATGCTCAAGACAGGCATTTTTTACTAGTTAAGCTAAACTACTGTTCAGTTTTAAGAAGACTTCAAGGGGTATTTTTGTTTAAATTTTAAGGATGATCTAGGGAAATAGTTTCAGGGGTTCTTTCACCCTCCATGACTCCACAAAGTCTGGAGTCCATGAAAAATTTAAATTTTGTTATGCACCCTCCCCCACTTTTGATCAGGATTCTTCTACAGAATATTTTATCAAAACATTCAGTAATGATAGTTGGGCACCATTTAATTCTGGTCTTATGACAAAGGAAGCAATTGTTCATGGATTTGTCATGTATTCCATATATAGCAATTATCCACATAGCCCACTTCCTCCTCCTATTCCTGACTCCTTCTTTCTCTGTTGCTCCATGCAGATAGAGACCTATTTTTGTGCCTTGGATGGCCACGTGCATGCTATTAATAGGGACTATGTGGCAAACTAGGGGATAGAATAGAAGCACGGAACATACTATTAGGACATTTAACCGGGGTAGTCCATGAAACTTTGACCCTAAGCCTCCAGAACATGGGGTTTTTAATTGTACATAAGTAGCCTCAGCGGAGTCTTGGTGTGGTGCTGTAGGTAAATCACTGGACTGTTAATTACAAGGTTGATGGTTCAAAACCTCCAGCCATTCTCTGGAAACCCTATACAGCGTTGCTATGAGTCAGAACTGACTTGATGGCAGTTAACAGCAACAGAGACACGGTAGTCTTAGCAGCTACTCTTTTGTTGTTATTGTAGTAAATAGCTCTGTCACACAACTTTTGCCAAGTCAACTTTTTACAGTTGTACAATTTATTGACAGAAGTTATAATGTTGTAGTAGTAAATATATCGCACAACCTTTGCCATTTCAACTTTTTGCAGTTTACTGACAGTTTCTACAATTTACTGACAGAAGGTACAACCCGAACTGTAATTAAGGTGATTTTTCTTTTTCAACCCCTTCCTCCCACTCTGATAATCACTAACAAACACTGGTCTCTATAAATGTGCCATTCATTTTCTGTAAGTGAGGCCATACACTATTTGTCTTTTTTGATGGGCCTACTTTGTTTATAAAGTCTTCAACCTTCAAGCTCCATCCATACTGTAGCATGTATCAGACTTAATTTCTCCTACTGGCTGAGCAGTATTCTGTTTTCTGTATGTACAACGCTTTGGTGATCCATTCATCTGTTGAGGGGCCTTTAGGTTGTTTCCACCTATTGACTGTTGTGATTAATGCTGCAGTGAACACTGAGGTACAAGTTAACAGCAAAAAGATAGCTAACCTAATCATGAAATGGACAGAGGATTTGGAAAACGTTTCGCAAAAGAGGACATTCAAATGGCCACCAGATTACATGAAAAGATGATAAGCTTCAGACAAATGCAAATGAAAACTATAACGAGAGCTCATTTGGTGCTATGGGTAAATGTGCTGGACTGCAAAGTCGGTTTGAACCCTTAGGTCAGCAGTTCACGCTCCTCGGAAACCCTATACAAAGTCGCTTTGAGGCACTTAACAACAGGATGGCTCAGAAAACAATTACAAATGTTGTTAAAAGGATGTAGGGAAATTGGAAGTCGCATCCATTCCTGGTGACAGTGCAAAACGTTACAGTCATCATATAGAACTGTGTTGTGGTTCTTCAAAAAAAGTCAAAATAAAATTAGCGTATTGCTGTTAAGTGCCGTAGAATTGGTTCAGATTCACAGTGATCCTGTATAGGGTTTCTGAGGAGTGGCTGGTGGGTCTGAAGTGCCGACCTTGAGGCTAGCAGTACAGTGCTTATCCTACAATGACACACCAGTACTCTAAAGCTAACATGTTGTTGTTAAGTGCTGTCAAGTTGATTCTGACCCATAGTGACCCTGTATAGGGTTTCCAAGGAGCAGCTGGTGAGCTTGAACTGCCGACTTTGCGGTTCAAACAGCTTTGCAGTCTGACGCATTAGCCCACAGCGACACACCAGGATTAACATATGACCCAGCAATTCTACTCCTAGGTGTATACCCAAAAGACCTGAAAGCAGAGACTCATAAAGAGACTTGTCCACAAATGTTCACTGTAGCATTCTTCACAATTGCCATTATCTCAATTTTAACCTTTCGATGTCAATATATTTAAAGTCAGATTCATGTAGACAGCATATAGTTGTGTGTCACTATTTTATCAAAACTGATATTATCTGTCTTTTAATTAAAGTGCTTACATCATTTACATTTAATGTGATTATCAATATGGTTGCATTTAAGTCTATCATTTTGGAAAATTTTCACTATATTTTAATTCAATTTTCCCACATACTTTTTGAAACCCCCTTGTAGATTTTCTACTTGATGTAACTGTTCTTCCATTTCCCCTCTATTCTTGCCATTTTTGGATTTACAGAGTATGTTTCATGATTCCATTTAATGTCTAAATTAGTTACTATGAATTGACTTGTTAATATCTACTACTGGTTTACTAACTGTTGTTAAGTGCCGTCAAGTCATTTCCGACTCATAGTGACTCTTTATAGGGTTCCCCAGGAGTGGCTGGTGACTTTGAACCTTCGACCTTGTGGTTCAAGCTGACCTTGCGTTCCAGTGCTTATCCTACAGCTCCATACCAGGACTCTACACCTTGTTTTATTAGAAAAATTTAGTGGTTTTTCTAGAATTCAGTGCACTTTCAATATCCCTTATTCTGTTCAAATGACTGACTGTGTGTGCAGGTTCTGCATGAACACAATGAAGTGTTCTGGAGTTCCTGTTCTTCACAATGTTATCCTCAGTGTGTAATGATTCACATAGTCAAATACCTTTGCATAGCCAATAAAACACAGGTATGTATCTTTCAGATATTCTCTACTTTCAGCCAAGATCCATCTGATATCAGAAATGATATCCCTAGTTCCACGTTCTCTTCTGAATCTGGTTCTAACTTCTGACAGTTCTCTGACAGTTCAAACCAACCCAGTTCTCTGTCAGAAGAACCAGAAGTTTTAAAATGATCTACAGCAAAAATTTACTTGTTTGTGATTAGTGATGCTATTTGATGATATCCACATTCAACTGGGTCAAGTTTCTTTGGAATGGGCACAGATACAGGTCTCTTCCAATTAGTTGGCCAGGTAGCTGTCTTCCAAATTTCTTGCCATAGTTGAGTGAGTGCCTCCAGTGCTGCATCTGGACACATTTCCATTGATATTCTGTCAATTCTTGGAGCCACGTATTTCGACAATGCCTTCAGTGTAGCCTGGACTTCTT